TTAAAATGAACCATGAAATACTTAGTTAAAGGAAAAAGTCTAAAAGAATCTCTCTTCAACCATAAAATACAGGATTTTCTTTTTCTTTTTACAAAAATATTACCTGTTTAAATTTTTACAAGGAGCCCTGATTTATTATTCTTTCCCCACACATGCTGCAACCTGCATATTGCATCATGACATGCCCAAAGTTTTTTCTATGTTCACATAAACTGCTATGTTATTTTAATGCACAGTGCTGGTGCCACGGCAACCAGATAACAAGAGCATATGCCAATCAGTGGCAACGCTGAGGCTGCCAACACTGAGCTTCTTGTTAAAACACAGCATTCTGCTTCAAAATCTTTTAAATCAGCAGCTTTTCCCAGCAGGATCATTCACCACATCACACTGCAAAAAATGCTCAGAAACAAGTCGGATAACGTTAGAAACAGCTTAAGGCTGTTTGACCTGCTACCAGTTTGAAATGGGGGTTCATGGGAATTGGTAGAAGTCAAATCTATTAAAAAAACAACAGCTTGCAGCCTCAAAACTCAAAAAGCACAGGACAAAAATGGACAGTCCTATACAGGGCTTAATTTAAGCCGGATCTTACGTGAACAAAATCCGGGAACTCTCTTATTTTGATACGGTGCGTTCCTGCAACTGTTTGCTCGGATCCGGTAACGCAAATCTCCGCCCCTAAAAGTCCAAAGTCATCGCACATTTTTATTAAAAAACTAAAAAAATATAGTTAAACAGCACAACTAAATTGCAAATCAGTTTGACAGTTTAAGTGGGTTACTAATAAAATTGTGATTATTTATTAAAAATACATTGAGAGGAGACGTTGCCCTTGGCCCAGCAGTCCCAGTCTGTGGAGTGGATGTTCCGGCCACAGCATGTGCACCAGCTCGCGCACCAGCTCGTACACATGCTCCTGCCCAGCAGAGACAGTATGTCCAGCGGGGATGAAGTATCTTCATCTAACACCTTCAGCGGCGCGCCCTGCAGACAGTGCACGTTACTCACAGGAGCAACTCCAGCAAGCTCTACAGAGTGCTTGCGCAACTGCTGATGTGCCGGAACTACGGCATACATTTAAGACATAATAAATAAAAAAGCTGTATGGCATTTCCTTTATTAAAAATTTTCTTGGGGAGGACCCACAGACCCCCCTCATCTGCAACCCCTTCAGCAGACAGAGGAATGTGTTCAGTCATAGACTGCTGTCATAATAATTCCCATGGCCATACAACAGCCTCACTGGCAGGAGGAAGCATTCAGTAACAAGTTAATTTTACAGGCTTTGGAGTAATCATCTATCTATCCATTTATCTATCCATCTATCCATCAATATATTTATCTATAACTCCAAACTATGTGTAAAAAGTTATATAACTTGGTGGAAGACTGGTCAAAAGACATTTTAAGGTTCACCTTATTTTACTGAATGTGAATGGTTAAGTTTCTCTTTACACAAAGTCCTTGACTCCTGACAGGTTGACGGTTTCCTCCAGAATTCATGGATGTTTTCCACTAATCCGGATGATACATTTCCTAACATTAGTAAAGGGTAGTAGATGGGGCACCTACGCTTTGAGTATTTTGTAATGTACTTACTCTTTGCTGTGTTTTCGATTTAGGTAATTGCTTTCCAGTTTGAGTATTATGTGTCCTGTTAGTATTTTACATTTGCTCTAAGCAAAACCTTTCAAGTCAAATAAAGCAAAAAGTGCAAAGAAGGTGCAAAGTTCTTGTGGATAGACAAACAGCTAAACAATTTTCCTGTTCTGTTGACATTATAAATATAATTTTCAGCACATCACCTTCAGTGGTGGACAATAACACCAGATGTATTAATACTAAACCATTCAGCAAAATAAGACTTGTCAGGAAGCAGAACCACCTGATACATGCAAAGGTAAAGGCTATACAAAATTAAAACATGAGGTAAACTGAGCACAATGCAGAACATGGAGGAAAACATTAAACAAAAGCCTGACCAGAACCCTCCAGCTGTGACATTTCCTACTTCAAGCAAATTCCTCTTAAATATGAGTTGATCCAATTGCAGTCAAGACTCACTTGACATCATGTAAGCCATTCCTAGAAAGTCTTCTCCGCTTCCTAATTGTAATTTCATAGTAAAGCACCCCTAGCTATGTAAATAAGTGAGCAAGGCATCTGGGAGTGAGAGGAGATGAGCGAGTCGAGAGAAGGAGAGGGAAGGTAAAACTCTGGGCTTTTCAGGAGGAGAAAGCCTCTGTAAGCAGTGGGGTAATCACTGAACCAGGCCAAAACTTTAATTAGTTTGAGAAAGGAGGAGGGGTAAGAAAAAAAAATCAATCCATTTTACAGCTTCCTCTCCTCCCCTCTACGTTTCTAACACACATTCGCTCTTACCTTTCCATCTCCCCTGTCTGAGCACTTTGCTCCAGTTACCTCTCTCTGCCTTGATTCATCTCACTCTCATGCTGCCACCATCGCTTCCATGTGCTGTCCCTATCCTTCATCCATCTCATGAAAACTGCATAATGGAATTAGGCTCAGATGGCGATTTCGAACTCATGCATAGTGAGAGAAGGATGCATCAGAAATGACCTCAAATCTTTGACTCTCTCACATTAGGCAGAACATCAACAGAATAGACATTACATGAATACATTGGGATGCTGTAATTAAAATAAAATGCCCAGTTCTTCTTACAATATCCTGTTTTGACATGTGTGAATAGCTTGTCATTAAAATGTATGGGTTTTTTCCACACTTGATTCACCTTGCCAAATCAAAGACAGGATGTACTTTACTTTGAAAACACTTCACTAGATGAACTAAACAAGGGGGTAAACATTGTCTGATGTTGAACCTCTCCTATTGGATAATTACTGCATGGGTGATTATCTGTCAGCTGGCAACAAGTTATTTAACCCCAATTGCAATGAGTTGCTTTTCATTTCATAAACAACCATGGCAAAAGACACATTGCATGGTCAATGAAAAAATGTCAGTCTGTTTGAGAAGGGTCAAATCATTGGCATGCATCAAGCAGAGAAAACATCTAAGGAGATTGCAGAAATTACTAAAATTGGGTTAAGAACTGTCCAATACATTATCAAAAACTGGAAGGATAGTGGGGACCCATCATCTTCGAGGAAGAAATCTGACCGGAAAAAAATCCTGAATGATCGTGATCGGCGATCACTTAAACGTTTGGTGAAATCAAAGTGAAGAAAAACAACAGTAGCACTCAGGGCTATGTTTAATAGTGAAAGTAAGAGCATTTCCACATGCACAATGCAAAGGGAACTCAAGGGATTGGGACTGAACAGCGGTGGAGCCTTAAGAAAACCACTAATCAGTGAGGCTAACAGGAAAAAAAGGCTTCATTTTGCTAGGGAGCATAAAGATTGGACTCTGGAGCAATGGAAGAAGGTCATGTGGTCTGATGAGTCCAGATTTACCCTGTTCCAGAGTGATGGCTGCATCAGGGTAAGAAGAGAGGCAGGTGAAGTGATGCACCCATCATGCCTAGTGCCTAGTCATCAATGTAAGATCTTGGTGAAAAATGAATGTAACACTGGATGGAAATAGATCTTGTGTCATTGCAGAAGCTCATCGTAACAATGCCACAGTGCATGCATGCTGTAATAAGAGCTAAAGGCGGTCCAAAGAAATATTAGTGTGAGCTTTTTTTGGAGGCAACTTCTTCTTTTGGCCAGGTAATGTGTGTATATACATACATACATACATACATACATACATACATACATACATACATACATACATACATACATACATACATACATACATACATACATACATACATAT